GATGGGCATGCCTGAGAAAGTGTACTTCTGCGGCGAACTAGGCACAGGTCTCGTAAACAAGATTGCCAACAACTACGTCGCCATCTGCAACACTACTGTCATGGCCGAGGCAATGGCATTCGGCATCCGGCACGGTGTGGACAAGCGTACTCTGTACGAATGTATCGCGGCGTCGTCCGGGGATTCGTGGGTATTGCGCAACAACCACGTCGTTCCGGGCGTGATCCCCAATTCTCCTTCCAGCAATGGCTTCAAGCTCACCTTCGCGCCGAAGATGTCGGTTAAGGACGTCTCGCTTGGCATTGATGCTGCTCAGGAAGTCGACATTTATCCTTCGATGGGCAAGGCGGCTGTGTCATTATACCAGAAAGCGGCGGAAGACCCCAGAACGGCCGTGAGTACTCATCAACACTCCTATCTTGTCTCTTCTCGTGGTTCATTCACTTCTATTTCCCAGTTTGCTGACCGCTTTTCCTTGGACGTAGGCCCTTGATCAGAGTGTCGTTTGGTTACTTATCAATGACGAGCTGGACTCTCTAGGACCAAAAATAAACGGGTCGTAGCTATGGCATATAGGTATGAACGAGCTGGAGTAGTCCAGCAACCCTTTTATCGTGGCTCCCAAGGTTGGCATTTGGCAATTGATTGATATGCCGAATACTGGGGCAGCAGCTCTTCCCCTATTGACGACCAAGGCTCCCTAGAATTTGGATTTGGATCTGGAGTGAATCGCCGTTACGCAGTACCTTCGTCCAGATCTCCGTGCCTGATCGCTTGAGCGTTAAAGTGAACTGATGCATTTTGTATAGAGTACAATACTATACTCTTTTAAGCTATCGCATGGCGGCGATCTTTATCTCAAAAAAATGATGGCACTAGATTTTGTTCAAGCCAATGAATATACCATCAGGGCCAGAGCATGTTTCTAAATGCGTTTATATGCACCTAGCGGTTGTATTGGTTTGATAAAGCTACTCGGAAAGCTTGAGGCATATGCATCAACCCCCCCCATCTCCACTCTGCTGAGTCCCACTCCGATAAATGAACTTGCAAACAAAGATTGAGAACATGAAGGATTAAACGGCGTTACTTGGACTAGACTCGCATCAGTTCAACACTTGAAGCCCAAGGACGGTGTCACCACACATCCCACTGGCTTAGAGCTCTTGCGATCTGGATTGTAAAGCGTCTCCCACACAAGGCAAGTGCCGAAGCCAACATTACTTTGGTCTTCGACTGGATCTCAAGCATTACGAAGACATCGAAGCTCTGGTGTCCCATAATGGGTCCTACTTGAGGACCTCGACGTGATCGACGACGATCGACTTGTACTGTGTTGCACCGGGATTCTCGTTGTGGTTGGCACATTCGATCTCATCCTCGATCTGTCCAGGGATTTTTTCAGCGTCATCCAGCTTGACGACGACATTATCGCCAAAGAGCGCCGCGACCTCTTCCAGAGGGACATTGGCAGTCTGTACTAACGTAAGCATTGTGCAACAGGAGCAACAGAAAGATGCTTACCTCTGGGAAAAAGATGTAAAACACCACGAGGTAAAAGGCGTCACAGATAAGAAAGATGATGAAAAACCGCCAGCTGATGTTCCTGATTGCAATGGGAGTGACTTGCACCACCCAGATGGTGGTCACAGTCTTGGCTGCGTAGCCTAAAGCCATGCCTGTAGCGCGAATCTCCATGGGCTGTAGAAGTTAGCAGATGCCACTTCCCAGTCAACGCCCACCAGAAGTGATTAAACATCTTACCAAAATCTCTGGCGTATATGTATAGCCGAAGGCATTCATTACCCAACCGTACCCAACAAGCCACATGAACATGCTCCAGAGGGCTAAACTTCCTAGAGTATGGTTCGTGTTATGATCCTTCTCGTACCTTGCCCAGAAGACAATCAACATAATGGTGGACACGAGGATGATTGACATGGAGATGAAAAAGTTTGGTCGACGGCCCCAACGGTCGAGAAAGTACATGCACGGGATGGCCATGATGAGGGATGTAGTGCCCCAAACACCCACCAGGATAAGCAGCATCTTCCCTTCCAGCCCGAGTGTTCTGTACAGGATAACCTGGTAATTTTGCAGGCCATTAACCGCCGTTAGCTGTTGGAAGACGAAGAAGAAGACGATAATGTAGATGCGTTTTCGGTACGACGGTCGTTCCATTGCAGCCACAATTCCCACCTGAGGGCTTTCCTGTTCGAAGCGAATTTGCGCTTGGATTTGGTTAAATTCTCTTCTGTAGAATGGAATTCGGTTATGCTCTCTCTCATCTGCAAGTGATTGTTGCTTGCCTTGATGTAGTCTTTCCAGAACCCGTACAGCTTCGTCATCCCTCTTTTGCGCAATCAACCACCTCGGGGACTCGCAGACAGTGAACGACCCTAAACACATTAGGACGGCGCAGACAATTTGAAGCCCCAGGAAAATGCGCCACTTGACTTGACCGCCATGCAGATACGAGAAACCCAGCCCCATCCACTCGCTACCAGCATAGCCGACATTGAGCGTGATACTAAATTCACGATCACAGATTAGCTCATCATGCGGAGGCAAGAGCAGGGGATGCAATGCCACGCAGCGTTCATATACCTATATAGACATCCGACTGTACCACGGAGATGGGGTGGTGACAACTCGCTGAGGTACATGGGGCACAACGACCAGATAATTCCACAAGCGATCCCGCCAATAACTCTGCCCACAAGAAGCATAGGAAGGTTGACAGCGGCGGTCTGCAGGGCGGCGCCGATGACGGAAATGGCACATGAGATCTGAACTACCCTCCTTCTTCCGAACTTGTCAGCAAAATATGCAATGGTGGCCGCGCCGATGGCGATTCCAGCGTAGTACACCGATCCGAGTGCGCCCAAAGTAGAGGATTTGAACTTGAAGTATCCTGTGAACTCAGGGTAGGCGATAATGGAGGTAGTCAGACCCGAGTCCTAGCCGTAGAAAAGGGCTCCAAAGGAGCAGTAGACGAGGCACCACAGTTGGTACGAATTCATAATTGCTACCGTAATGATGCAGTAGAGTTTGAGGCAGAAATGCTCTTCATCTTCAAGATGACGTAGCTCTGGAATATATAGATATTGAAGCCGCCAACTGTCCGTTCCTCGGATAGATTCAATCCTCGGATCTGACTTCTCTTGACGATATTTGTGGCATGATTGAGAGATGGGTCTCCGAGGTGATGGGACGTTGGCAAGGTGAATTGGTCAGGACTGGGGTGCCGAGCTCTGCCAAGAGGCACCGTGCAAGGGGCGGGATCAAAGGGGGAGGGAGGTCCATGATAGGCTGATGTAATGTCAGGTGGATTCACCATGCGCTGCCAAGCGTTTCCGCTGCGTGTTAGTTCGACAGGATATCTTAGTGGGAGGGATGTGGCCGGTGAATAAGTACGATATGCATCGAAGTGTAAAAAGTATAATGTGGCCGACACCTGAATAGGTGCTTCACGCCGTGTAACAATAATATTATTGCTTACATGACATTTTCCTAGTGTCATTTGAGGTATCTTTTTGGACTATCTGTGTAACATGATTCCCATAGCATCGTGCAGTCACAGTTGCAAGAGCGACCAACGCAACGTCAGGCCGCGGATAATTAGGCGGGAATCGGTTCACACATCTGCCATTCGTCGAATACTTGCAGTCTAGCCTCCGAGACTCAATGCCCAGCTCACTTCTGTGTCCGCGAACAAGTCTTCTAGTGGCAGCGAACGCTATGCGGCATCACGGCCACACCCAAGACCAATGATGATATGCAGTTTCTACCTATGATTCCTTTGCGGCATACTCCAGTTTATTCACTTCATCGTACCACTCGGTCGCCCCGAAAGAGGTCGCTTCGTGAATCATGTAAGTTCCATCACCGGCACCATGCCAGTGGACTACACCCGGCGGACAATAGATCACATCTCCTGTGGCAATGCGTCGCGGTCTCTGGCCCTGATCACAGAGCCAACCTGCCCCGCCCACAACCTTTAGGATCTGGCCCTTCTCGTGACGATGCCAATTGGTTCTGCCAGTGGGAAGAAAGTTGACCAGACCGATGGTCACCTGGTCTGAGCGAAGGATCAGGTCGACCCAGACTTCGCCCGAGAAGAAGCCCAAGACCTTGGCTGGCATTGAGTTCTCGGCCGTTCTACCATGGCGGGAAATGATTGCTGTTGGTGTTTCGACAGTAGTGTCGCGCGTTTTCTGGGTGATGCCTGCAGCTGCCATCATTCCTAGAGTTCACAGAAGAAGCAAGACAGAAGATGAGACTGTCAAAAACTCTATTGAAGAATTGGAGGTTGTCCACAGATGTTTCTTGGTCAAGTTGAAGCCCAATGTTTTGCCAGTGGTAAGTTTTGCTCGAACTTGCGAAGGAAACTTTGGTGTTCAGAACATTTAAAAGCCTCTTGAACGCGTATGGCGATTTGTTAGGGTGAAAGCCGATGCTGGAGGCCAAGCCGACAACAGAAAAAGTGAAGATATTTAAGTCACTGTAGTCCGAGCCACATTGAAAAAGTAGATCTCGAGGAGGTTGCAGTCTTTGGCCTGTACTAGCGCACAGCGCAGGTGGGTTTCTCATCTCTTCTCTGGCTGTCATTGGCTCTCCCAAAGATTCCTCGGACCGAGCATATCGGCTCCCAAGGTGCATAACGTGAAAAGGATGATGAATAGACTCTGGCTGTAAGACAAGGATGATGTGGATAATGGATCTAATGGTGGCTAATGGAGTATCCCTTGCTGGAGATGCTGTACTGGCCATGACTAGTAGATTTGTGCCTAAATTCTAGAAGTACCCAATAGATTGACTATATTCGCTATACAAATACCTATAGTCTCTTAATGCGTCGTTGGCGACTGTGTTGCTGACAGTTCACCAAGGGATTTTTGTTTTACTTCTTCAATGCAATTTCTTTCTGACCATGCTGGGCACAGCAACTGATCTCTTAACCGAGCCGGCGTCTTGCGTGCTTGTCTTCATGCCCCCATTCAATTTCTAGTATGCGTGCCCATTTCGCCAAATATCGGCGGGACTGGTACGTCCGGCACAGGCAAGTCAATCCACGAATCAAAATCAAGCTCTGGGATCCAATCCATTGGTTGACTGAAATCCTGGCAGTTCATGGCCGAACAAAAAGCATCAACGTCAAAGTTGTGTGACCCTAGCACCGCTGGGTCGGAAAACTCGTTATCATTGTCGCCTGTTGCTGGGAGACCTGGTGGCTGTGAGACGTTTCCCGATGTTGGACCCTGACCTCCGATCGGATTCGGTGGGCTGATGCTCATTTGGGGGTCGGATGCTATAAATGTTGGGGAGGCAACTTTCTCAGGAATGTCTCGTTGGCTTATCCTTCGATGCCACTCGTGGGTGTCGTTTGCACGCCAACTAATTCGAGGTTCGAGGGAGCTTTCCACAGGCTTGTCATTCTTCTCGTTACTATACATGTTGAAAAGTGCCAGTATCTCTCGAGAATATGCTGGAAAGATTGGATCTTCGATCACTGCTGCCTGACTTATCCAAATCATAGGTTTGGGCATCTCGGCAGACTGTACCCGCGGCGCGCTCGAGGTTATTGTGAAAGGCGGTCCTGTTTGGGCTTTCACGGTGCTAGTATCATGCCGAGCTGCATTTGCAAGCGGATCACTTATGGTCAGTTCTGGTGGGCTTGCTGATTGCCAGGAACGTGCTGCATCCCCTGGGAAAGAGTTGTTTTCCCCTGGGCCTAGCACTGAGGACTTGGAAGCACGTTCAACAAGTGACTGGAGTGAAGTGAGATGCTTTCCTGCTAGGCTGGTTAGATCCCGGGCCAATTTATGCTGCTGGGACAGTTTGTCGAGAGCTGTGACACAAGACTTGAGGCCAGGTAAGATGGCAGTTTGCTCCTTGACACCATAAGTGTTACCCACGTCCAGCAGGGCGTTCAAAGCGACACCCAGTTGGATCACCATGGTTGCAGGGGCAAAGTGGGTGTCGAAACGCTCAAAGAACCGTGGGATGGAACATGCCAACTTATCAGCCCCTCGCTTTAGTCTACCGTAGTACCTGCCCAATGTTTCGTCCAGAGAATGGGGAAGCTTGTCGATGCAGTTGAGTTTTGCAGCTTGCGCCAGTCTTCCATACAGCAGGACTGAAACCACACAAAACTGCAAATGCAGGAGGAACATCGGGACGGACGCAGTTCGCCAAGTGTCCTTGCGCCACTGAAATCGTTCTGGGATGGTTCGGCGAAAATGTGCCTGCCTAGTCTCCAGCTTGCAAAGTTGAGCAAAGACTGTTTCGTGGTAGCTGTCTGCTGGAGGAGCAGATATTTGTGTAATTGATAGCACTACTGCGAGCAAGTCGAGCAAGGCATGATAGATTGAGAAGGTGTCATTGGTCCCACCATATTTGACCCAAGAATGGATTGTTTTGGAGTTGTGCGATAGCCTCGCTGTAACCGCTGGCGGTATGTGCAGTCCAGAAAGAGTTTCTGGGAGAAAGACCATCCATTGCATTTGCAGAAACTCGCAGGTTCTAAGCACAGCTCGTCGGAGGAGTACATCGTTGTCAGAAAAGCTCAGCTCGTGAGAAATCACATCGTTGGCTGGTTTCGAAATACGCACACATGCATAATGAAGATAAGACGTCGCCGAAAGATACCTTCCAGACGAATATTCGAGATTGGATAAAATAACAACGGCTTGTAGAACATCGAGAGTGTCCGCGGCTGATATTTGACTATCGATTACGGTTCGCAGTAGGCGATGTAAGGACGACTCGCGACCTTCTGACCGGAAGTTTGCCAGTTCGCTGCGGCGACAGTCTGCATGGCGCAATCCTAGAGCTAAGGCAGCAAGATGCAGGGTTAACGAGTAGTCCTCGGTGCCTGGAACGATCTGGTTTTTGCGAAGGAGCGGAGGGTATATATTCGCCTGTGTCCAGAACGCGTCTTCCAGGAGACCTTTGGCGGCATAATCAACGCTTTTGATGGTCGTACTGCACTGATCTTGCGCGTCATGGTACAGCTTCAAGTGCAATTCTCTCCCAAGGTGCAAGCCGCTACCGCATGCCATTTTTTCTTGTTTTGTTTTTTTTTTGACCACAACAATGCGCTGTCATGTGATCAAACCCTTCAAATGGATACGGTCAATTTGGCACACAGTGTGAATGGGGATTTAGAGGTACGGATCAAGCACAAGGACATTAACGGAGTTGCGTTGAAGCCTCCGCCACAGATCTAGAATTCATAAAGTGACAGGAAGCTAGGGAGGAGGAATCAAATCCTGAGGACTGCCGGGGTGCAGTAGGAATTTGAGGGCCCTTAGGGTGGGCGGGGGGCGTTGAGGCACTAGTTAATTGACCAACTAACCTACAAGCTAAACCTAGTGAGCCTTGGGACCCCTAGGCTGGGGCATGCTTAGTGGGGAATCCCCAAGACATGGCCTAATACATACCCAGCGTACTCCGTGGCAGCTTTTGACAAGGGGTTTATATTTTTAGGCCGCCCAGAAGAGCAATAGCCACTCCAATGCGGCTTAGTGGCCTAAATGAAGAGGCCTTCAAGCTTCGTGACCCTCTTGCGTGTCCACCTTCTCAGGCTCGGATGAATTCCATATGTCCGCCAGGACTCGTGTCGTGTTAGAGTCTCGCTCTTCCTGCTCGTAACACACATAAGGTCCCACCATCCAGGCTGACAAAGCCGCTTCCTTCTCTTTCGATCCAAAAGAGTTTATCGCGACCCGGTGGATCCAGGTCTAGAGCTGCAGAGCCACACAAGAATATCAGCAAATGTCCACCTAGATTGGGCCAGCATATACTATACCTTCTGCCCTCAGGCCCGTCTTGAGCTTTTTCATGATTGTCGACACTCGCTCGCCAGTTAGATCTTCACTGCCGTTCAAGTCAGCAGCATCAGTGGCGAGAGTTGGCATGACTCGAAGAAATCGAGGAACTGCGTATGGGGGTATGCCGCCTTCTTTGATGAACCACCCCTCCAATGCCTCCAGGCTCTCCAGCGCAGCCGAGTCTTTGGTTTGACCTTGGATCAGGGTGATTGCCGCACATCCAAGCTGTCCTTCGTAGCCATATTTGTTCATGGGTATTGAATAGACGTTCGCCGATCGAATGTATGGGTGATGCAAAAATGCTGCTTCGACCTCAGCGGTGGAAATATTGTGTCCTTTTGCACGAAACGTGTCCCCAAGACGGTCACAAAAAGTAACATGGCCGTTACGATCCTACATGGCGAGCTTCCTGTCAGCGAGTGAAAATAGCTATAAGATGGAGGACGGTAGACGGGGAAGATGGAGGGACGCATACCAGAGACAGTGCATCTCCCATTCGGAAGAACAAGTCCCCGTTTCTGAAAACGTTTCTTAGGAGCTTTTTTTCTGTGGCCTCTTCGCCATCTTCTCCAACATAATCATGTGTTCTTTGCAAGGGCGGAGCGATACGTGTGATGGCTTCCCCAACTTCGTCAAAGGCGCACTGTCTGCAGAAGCCGGTCTTAGGGTCTCTCCGAACTTCGCCTGTTTCCAGGTCCACCTTGATGATATAGAAAGCGTCTTGTCCAAAGTACTGGCTTCGCATGAATGGACCCCAGCAGGCGACTTTGCCTACGCCTTTGTCTGCGTCATGTAGAGTGCCATGTGCAATACTGGTTGTTCCCTCGCTCGATCCGTAGTACTCCACAATCCACGGCACTCCAAATCTTTCCCGAAATGCACGAATTACTGGCGCATTCAATCCCAAGCCATATATCGGCTCCAGGCTGTGAGAAGACTTTTCGTCAGGGTGGTGAGGGTCTATCGGGGCTCGGACGAGGAAGCGAATCATCTCCCCGATGTAGAACATCGCATTAGCTCTACTCCGGCGCAGATCTTTCCAAAAGTTCGAGACCGAGAACTTTCTCGCCAGAATGACTGTTCCAGATGTGGCAAGCGTAGAAGGGAGGACAGCAAAGCTAGAAAGTGGTCAGTCTATGCTTAGGAGAGAAGAATGAGACGTACGCGGCACCTCCATGAAACATGGGTGTGGATATATAAAATCGACGAGGCTTCTGGAACATTAGCGGCCATCTGAGGGATCCACATGCCATCATGCTGTATGCTGCGGGCCATACAGACGCCTTCGGAGGCCCTGTCGTCCCTGATGTGAACAAGTACTGCGAAGTATCTTCGGCTCGCACCACAGGCCTTGACTCGCTGGGCCAGTCCGCCGACTGCGGCGTGACAGGCTGCAGGCGTTGATGCTTGAGCGTGTTGTTGTGTAGGGCAGGCAGAGACTGCGAGACAGTGTCGTAGGTGCCGTAGTCCTAATTGATGAGCTTCTTGAGCTTGGGTAATTGAGCGTCATTGCAATGCATCGCTGGAGTTCTATCGAGCACAATACCTGCGGTATCCAGGCTGGTTGCAGCAGCGTCAAATAGCTCAGATGTGGTTATCAGAAATTCAGCTTCGCTGACTCGTAAACAATGCTTCAGTGGCTCTCGGGTTATTGATGTGTTGACTGGGGGAGGGATTGCTCCAATCTTATACAAGGCCCACCACGCGAACATAAAGTCAGGTGAGTTATTAACATACATCGCAACTACTGTTCTGTTTCTGATCCCCAAAGCTTGCAGAGCCTCAGCCAATCTTCCAATCTCTCCCCGTAGTTCAGCATAAGTCCAGCTTCGCGCTTCGAAAAAGAAGGCCTCGTCATAATCATTCTTTCCGCGAGTCGAGTGCAGTGTGTGGTAAAAGGACCAGTCAGACTCCCCATGAACTTTGCAAAGATTTTGGTAGAAGGTACGATTTGCTTTCAAGCACTGGATTTGGGCAATGTCCAACCTGATGTAAAACTTGAAGTCCAACCAGAAACCAGCAGCAGCAATGGCGGCGGCAGAAGCTGGTAACACAGCTGCCGCTGCAGACTTCATGACTGATTCCATGGCGCAACGGCGTCGAATCCGAACGAAGTTCTAAACTTGTACATTGTCGTCACATGCCAGAAGAGATTCATGATAAGCTTGGGAGTAAATCAGGTCAAACAGCCTCATGACATTCAGAAACACTCGGGAAATCGAAGCCCTCGGCAAGAATCAGCATCGCGCGAACCCTCGGAACGCGAATTAGTTCCGCTAGTGTCGAGCCTCGGTGTCATCCCGCCAAACGGCTTTGATGAGTGTTGTAGTGAGCTCGAGCTATTGGAATAAATCGAGGTGGTTAAGCCCAAAGTCGGGGATCCACAGATTTATGAGAACGGCAGCAGTACTGCAACTGACCGTGCCTGTACGCGTACATAGCTCATTCAATCGTTCGTGACCACTCTCCATCACCTATGTCTTTCCATCGTGCCCCGAATAATGCAGATGCCCTCCGTAAGGGGCGATCCTATTCGACTTATGCGATCTTGCCAATGCAACTAGCTTATCATTTACGAAAATCTTCCCGATATTTAAGTGTCCTGAAAATGACACCTCTAGCGAAAGGATGGCTTGATCTTCCCAGCTGAGCGTTCTTGCAACCTTTCCTTGAGAGTATCCTGGTATCTAGGACATGAAATCAGTGAGGGAAGGGCTTGGGAAGGAAAGTACATGTGCGCTATCCACTCGCATACAATTATGCGTGTGTGTGCTTGATCGATGACCTCTTCGACGCCGAACTTGCTGGACACCCGCAGTGGATGTTGAAGGTTTGTATACTCAGCCTCAAGGTGCTTATATAACTCTTGGGCCTTGTCTCTAACCTTTCTGAGATCTGCGCGATGGTTTATTTCGGAATTAGTGCACCTCAGAAACCAATGGAGTGTGCGTAGGCATACCTTCTATGCCTCCATCCAGAGGCACAGAGCCAGAGTTGAGACTTGGCCTGCGCACGCATCAACTACATCCTGTTTCATGTTCCATGGGCGACTTACCAAGCAACTCGACAGTTTGACTCCCGATTGTCGATCAGAATCACCCCTCCAACGCCGTAGCAACGTCGCATGATTACGGAGAAGATAGATATCGTGTTAGTGAAATATGTTTTACACAAGTCCATAGCCCATTTCATAACTCTGGACTCCTCTGCAGCAGTCCCGATTGCGAACCCAGGGATATCGATCAGCTGGACCAATGGTAGGCCCATCACGTCACAGAGTCTTAGATGCTTGGATAGTTTCTGACATCCCGCAGCGTCCATAGCTCCGGCGTTGACCATGCAATTATTGACAACAATTCCCACAGGTCGACCATTCATCCGCGCAAGGCCGACCACGACACTCCGTCCCCAGTGAGGCCCAATCTCAAAGAAAGAGTATTTGTCCACAATTGAACGAATGATCGTTCTGACTTGGTACATCCGCTGACGTCGCCGCGGAATCGACGATCGTAGGCTAGAACAATCTCGATCGATAGCATTACTCGAGGACGTTACCGGGGGCAGGATCCCTCCATGATTAGGAACGTATGTGAGAAACTGTGCGACTTGGTCATAGCATCCTTTCTCGTTTGGGGCGTAGTTATCGACAACTCCATTGCCACAATGAATGCTTGGTCCTCCAAGATCTTGTATACTGTGACAATGTTAGATGAGAACATTTGACACACACTTCCGCCTTACGGACCTTAAAACCTTCTTCAAAAGTGGTGCCTTCAACGATTTTGGGACCAGCATTGAACAAAGCACCAATATCTCCAACCATGACACTGAAATGGCAAACTGCAGCTCTCGCAGCACCAAGACCCACAGCAGGCCCTACCACCGCAGCACAATTAGATATTCCAAGATTCAGTTGGCGAACCTTTGAGATAAGCATTTGGCTATTCCCGGCAGACTCATACATACCATGAAAGGAAGGAGTTCGATCTCGGGGAGGAACGAGCCGTTGTCGGTCTTGTAAGTGGTGATTGAGCCACCACCTGGCAAATTCAGTCCTAATCGTGCAGGGAAATAGGCCACGCACCATACCTGATGACCCATCGACCAGCTTTACCATTGGTATCTTAAAAAAAACAGGCTAGTTGCTCCATGTACAGCGTCTTTGCCATGAGCGCGTCGTCAGCATGCCCAGCGCGTAACGTAAAGTCGTCTGCGACGAGCAGGACGCGTCGACCCCTTATAGCGCCGAATCCCGAATTCTCGTCAGTTCACAGTGTCATGCTTATGGTTGGAAATTTGCACCTATCCTGAACATTATCGCTCGGTGTGAAATCTGGGACCGCTTGTCGTTCTGCTTCCATTGGATTCTTGGATTGCGCATTGACTTTGGTCCACGCAGCAGAACCTGCAGTGCTCCCAAGCTCGCGAAAGCTGTCAGGGTCAAGTAGCAGCTCAATGCGCTCTCTAAACCAGAGTTTGCCTGCATCTTTGTGACGCCTATACCCGGAGCCCTCCGTTTTTGGAGTCTCCGCAAATGTGCGTGCTCCGGCGAACTCTGCCAACACATCTGACCAATCGGCCCGGTCCATCTGCTGGCTTATATGTTTTTCGGCTCGTATTTCTGCTTGGTGCTACTTGCTCTGTGATCTGCTTTAATCTTGCGTCCGCTTTTGTGCTGACAGTGTGTGATCTGAGCTGTAACCTTTGTGTCATTTGGTTTCCCCATGTTGAGTACGAGGAAACAACTAATTGCAAATCATTGAGAAACATTTTGCTCACCTTCATTGCCCCAGATATAGTTCTGAAAATGACCGATAATCCTCTGCATTCAAGAACCCCTGACTGCCTCTCTTTGGTAGATCCCCGCCTGGCCATAGCACATCGGACCTCGGAAGTCGGAAAAGCCAATGGTTGAAGACTTGCGGATTCGTCCTGGAAATCGTATGGCCTTTACCGAGGTTGTTAGCTTGCTCGCTCATACTAGCTTCTGCTCGAAACCGCTCGAGGCACGCATTGAAGCAGCCCAAGTCGTTCAAAATGTGGTTGACACTTAGTGATTCCAGATGCTTGGAATACGACTCAAGGAGGTCTCCTGGTCCCCTCTATTTATGATTTCAGTCTGGATAGAATTCGGACTCCAACTTCCGTGTCTACCGGTAAGTTGAGGGAAACCTGGAAGCAAGCTACCCGTCAGATGCATGATGGCACACAGATGGCAAAACCTGTAATCAACAGGTTACCCGTCGCCAATTGGTAAGCAGACAATCCAGGACTAATTCGGCATGAGAAATTGACAGGGCAACAGGGGTGAGATTGCGATTCGAGTTCTTCTGAGCGCCCGCCAGCTCGGTATTACAACGATTGCCATATATACTGAAGATGATCCTAACCATGCGACACTCGCCGATGAGGCAATTCTTCTTGAGTCGCCGAAACACTTTATCGACGTTGCTAAAATAGTCTCCATTTGCCTCGACCAGAAGGCTGATTCCCTTCATCCAGCCTATGGGTTTCTATCAGAAAATCCTGAGCTTGTGGAACATCTGGAACAGGTCGGGATCACGCTTATTGGGACTACGGAGAGGTCACGCGCTTATGGGAACGTGAGTGTAGCATTCAAAGAAGGTTCTGAAAGGTGATCGAGCTGGCTCCATCCACGATCAAGGATCACCGTGTTGTTCGAGAGGTGATCAATAGCGCTATACCACTAGCTCGCAGCATCCGCTATCAGTTACCCGGCACGTTTGAGTTCTTGGCGCACGAATCCTCCGGGGAATACTACTTCCTTGAGGTCAACCCGCGCCTTCAAGTTGAGCACACCGTCATCGAAGAAGTGGCAGGCATCGACATTGTGCGTTCGCAGCTGCTTCTCGCACTTGGTGTTCCTTTTGCAGATCTCGACCTACCTTCAAGCCGGTGGGATGACAGTATTTCAATGTGACAGGACGCCATCCAGCTTCGAGTGACCGCCGAGGACGCCAACGAGGGTTTGGCGTTGAGTATGGGCCGTAATTCCAACCACAAGTTACCAGAAGGTCAAGATATCCGCGTGGATACTCATCTCAGACGTACCAACAGTTCCACAGTGGGACCTGCCTATGATTCTTTGCTTGCTAAAGTGATCGTCAGAGCGTCTAACTTGGGGACAGTAAGACAGAAAGCTATCCGAGCATTGCATGATTTTCAGATAACAGCCGTTCAGAGCAACATACCAGCTCTCCTAGCAGTGTTGCAATCAGAAGACTTCATTCACGGCGCATGATCGACACGATGGCTGCAGGCTAACCTATCGACAATTCTGGACAGACGCTCGGAGACTATTTCACAACACTCCAACTCGAGGACAGGGCACTTTGACTCGGGATCTGGACATGCTGAATCACTGAACAATGCATTTGGTGCTAATGAGGTACTTTTCAGGAGGGCAGACCGGTTCAAGATCATAATGGAAGCAACGGACGCCAAACCCACCACAACACAAGCATATCTTATAAATATCGATCGGATACGGACGAACAACTTCCCTACGGAAGTGCGTGCGGATATTACTTTGTCATCTTCGGCTGCAAGCACAACTCCGAAGCATTGCAATGCCACTGTGTATTCGTCAACAGAGGTATCCTTGCCGTCGTCCTCGCATCGTTTAGGCGACATCAGCGACCCCCGTCATGTCTATCTCCCATTCTCGGATCAATTCGTTGAAATGCTCATTGAAAAAGGGGATAAGGTTGCTAAGAATGAAGTGCTCTGCGTCATCAAACAAATGAAAATGGACCTCGAGGTACGAGCTCTGTACAATGCAGTCGTCGACTTGGTAGGTCAGTTTCATGAAGGCGAAACTGTTAAAGAAGGTTTGCATGTGTGTGTACTGGATGTTACGGACAGGAATGTAGCTTCCGTCGGGAGGTCTGAGCTTTTGGCAAAAATCTAAGATCTTCTTTATGCTTAGCAGTATTATGGTTAACTATTCACATCAAATGTGTCAAAGTTTTTGTTGTTGACGTCCATCAATGTCCCGTGTCACGCGTTTGTTGTATAGTTTGCCAGACCCAACATTGACCATCTTACCCAGCAAATAGTTTAGTCATCCCCAGCATCGCACAGGTTGAAGGCAAAGTCAATGATTGTAATACATTCCTGCTGGCGCGATACCGCCCTAATTTCGTTCCAATTCACTCGTGGTCTATACAACAGCGAAAATGATTTCAACTTTACGAAGCCGCGAGCCTGATCATTTGACATTTCGGTCTTCAGAACATCTTTGAAAACAACGGTAAGTGCTTGAGAATGGACGAGCACGCAAATCTATAGATTTTGGCCAACACCCCTTAACATTTTCCTTAGTATTCATGGTAATGTCATATCTTTCGCTGTCACCGTCCATTCCATCTGCCTTCATGTGTATGTTTCAATCCCCTCTTCATACTGGATGCTATGGCACCTCAACATGCTGGGAGCTGTGTTCGTGTTCGGGCGTCTTCAGCTCCCCCGCTAGGACTTTTATTGGTTTTTCTTGCATGTGCAACTCGGCTTCTTGAAGTGTTTCCGCAATCTACAAATATCTCATCAGCAAAGATATCTCTGGAGGTAACCTTCTCCAAGAGCGGAGACAAACGGCCCAGGACACTTACCGGGTCACCAAATAGCGCAGCAACCTCTTCGAGTGGCTTCCCGGAAGTTTCAGGAAACCTGTTCTGGATTAGCAAATACGGCGGACTGCATCTCTGAGAAAACCCACATGAAGTAGAAGGCTATAGTGAAAATAACATCACAGAAGATAAAGACCAGGAAATATCGCCAAGTAATGTTCTTGATAGCGATAGGCGTGACCTGGACCAGCAGGATGATCATACCGTTGAACACGAGCATCATGATCGCCGTGCCTACAGCACGGATGGGCGTCGGCAGGATCTCCGGGATGTACGCGTAACCGAACGAATTCATGATGAAGGCGTAGCCAAAGTTAAAAAGGAACATGGAGAAAATGGCGAGTCTGCCGTATGTAGTGTTTGTGCTGCCGGACCTTTCAAACGTCGCCCAAAATGCAGTCAACATAATCGTCGCGATGGTCATTACTCCCATGGCGAAATACACGGGAGGTTTACGACCTATGTAGTCGAAAAGCAGACTTCCCGTGGTTGTGGCGACAATTGTGATGGTACCCCAAATGCCAACAAGGATGAGCACCAGCTTGTTCGAGAAACCCAGCTGCTCATACAATATGACTTGGTAATTCTGCATGGGAATGATTGCTGTGGCTTGCTGGCCTACCATGAAGATGACGACCAGGACCAGGCGCTTGCGGTAGGAAGGCCGCCAGATGATTGCGGTGATACCGGTTCGTTCTTGTTTCTCGAGCGCAATCTGAGCATTGATCTGGTGAAGTTCGGCATGGGCGAATGACTTGTTGCCGTCCGCATCACCGTGGATACGTTCCAGCACGACCAGCGCATCCTCGTGGCGGTCCTTTAGTACTAGCCAGCGAGGCGATTCCGGCAGATAGAGGGAGCCCAAAGTCATGAGAGCAGGACAGACCAGCTGCAAGCCCAGAAAGACGCGCCATGCGGTGTTGCCAGATATATATGAGAAGCCTAAGCCCAACCACTCGGTGAACATATAGGCGAAGCCGACATTAAAACTCCAACACCTTGCGTCAGCACCGACTACACCACGAGACTGGGTGTAGTCGCATCTACTTACCTGTACAAGCCACCAGCTCTACCTCGAAAAGCGGGAGGGCTGATCTCACTTGCGTAGAGAGGACAACAGCTGTACACGATGCCGCAGGCAAATCCTCCAATCACCCTCCCAGCCATCAGCGTACCAATGTTGTGTGCACCAATCTGAAGAGCTGCTCCTAGGATCGAGACGACGGAAGCTAGCTGGATGGTACGGATGCGGCCGATGGCGTCAGGAAGCCAGAAGTTGCATATGGTGCCGATGAAGTTTCCTCCATAGTAGGAGGAGCCAAGGGCACCTAGCGTTGTGGAGGTGAAGCCGAAGAACGTAATAAATTGCGGATAGCCAAAGATGGAGGTCGTGCAACCGCTATCGTATCCATAGAAGAATGCTCCAAAAGCAATAAAGAACAGACACTTCAAGTTGTAGGCTGTGAGTTTCGTGGCCGTAAGCATCGCCATCTTGTCGCAAGCTTGGATTCAGTTGAATGTCTGGAGTTCTTAGGGTACGTGGATCGCCCTAAATAATTATGCATTTAGACTGCGGTCCTTTTTCCCGGTTTCCCTCGGTTACCAGAACGAATACAAGGATAGGATGCCGTTATATAGTCAAGTGACAATGGCCAGATAAACAACATTCTCGGAATTGTCTTGGAATCCGCCTCACAAATAACACGGGGTATATAAGAGACTTGTTGTCAATGACACCCAGATGAACATGACACTGACACCAATGAACAGACCAAAGGAACACCCCAAGTATCACAACGAAGATAACGGGGAGCTGGCACATAAACTACCCAACAAAGAAAACACGACAGATGCTTGTGACTACGCTTGATGGCTGGACTCGGAGCGTTGAGGACCAGGTCAAGACGTCGGGGAATTGCACTCCTCGAGGAGTGCGGCACCTTATCTGACGCTCATTCATGACATTGGTGAATTCTACAAAAGCATGCCTATAGGGATGGCTCATCTGCACTGCGGAATTGATGGAAGTGTTTACACAATTGAGTGTCATGTTAAATCCGGGGGAAGGAATTTGATTGATATGCTGAGACTTTTTCAAATCACGTGCTGCTCTCGTAGGTGCCAAGTGACTAATAGCCAATGTTAGTGCCGCACTCGGTTATAGCTGATATCGATCTACTCATATCCGCTAACACGACTTCCTAGCGAGCTAGGTACTCGGCGAGTCGGTATTCCTGAGTTAGGGCATGCCAAGGCTCTAGCGTCAGCTATTTCAGTTCTCCCGCCCCCTCCCTCGGCAATGTTTCCTCCTCGGTAGTGTTTCCTGTGTCTTCCTAGCGCTCCGTTCTTCATATCCGAGGCTTTTCTGTCTCTGCTTCCATCATTCATATTCGAATTTATCAAGCATCCTCGGGGTCCGTGTGGAAGTCATGGAGCAATCGATTCCTCGGAGAAAGCGTCGTTCAACAAGGGCATGTATTTTGTGCCAGCAGAGGAAAGTTCGCTGTGATTTGATCCAGGGCGGTCCGCCATGCACCAATTGCCGCTTAGATCAAGTTCTTTGCGAGCTAGGGCCCAGCAAACGCAGAAGGTTGGCATCTTGAAGCGTTGTTGTGGAAGCCGGCGCGCTGTACATAGACCTTACTGACGATGCTTCAGGACTAAGCATGTTCTTCCTGGCAGTGAGGGTACCAATGATGCAGCAGTGGCGGCTACCCGGCATCCTTTGCAATCGCCCCAAGAACAAAGCACGGCCAACCATGTTACTATTGAAGAGCTACTGCATACGACTCCATTACAGGCTCAACTAGCTCATCCTGCGGAACAACCGTCTGTCAGACCTCAGGGTTCTGTCGCCCAACCTCAAGCAGCAAGCGAAGTCTTTGAGCAGCATGGGGACGTGTTGCCCGACGTCACGGTTGAGTTCCCTGCAAGCCCATCAGAATCACAAAGTCTAGATTCAGTTGGGCTATTAGACAATGAGGCGGCCGTGCATTCTGTCAACGTGAGGCCTCTGCCAGCATCGCTGCGAAAGGTCGACATCGACTTTCTGTCGCACAAGGGAGCGCTTACCCTACCAACTCCTGCATTCCGCGATGTTTGCTTGTCTCGCTATATCGAATTCGTGCATACGGTTTTGCCTGTGCTAGACCTGGGCGAGTTTCTGAGGAGCTTGCTAAAAAGCCCTTCCGTGACGAGCCAAGGCGCAAGCTTGTTGCTACTTACTGCAGTCATCTTCGCGGCTATTCCTTTCGTTGAGGTTGAGCAGGTGAGGGCTGCCGGCTACCCCTCGAAGCTAGCCGCGCGTGCAGCTCTACAAGAGAAGGCCGAGGCGAGTCTTTTTTGCGTTCCCCGGACGAGGGCTCTCGGACTAATTGTCTTTAGCTGCTCTTCGATCTCCGTGCGGAGGATGACAAGGTAGTGCTGATACAGTCCGCATTGCTTCTTAGCACTCCACGTGGCAATGTGCAAGATTATAAGGATTCGTGGTATTGGATTGGTACGGCAATTGCGATCGCCCAGTCGCTCGGCTTGCACCTTGATCTGGCCGGCCAACAGGGTCATAGTACTGAACGGAAGCTAAAGAGACGATTGTGGTGGTGTTGCTATGTTCGAGAGCACATCGTGGCCATGGGACTAGGCAAACCTTGCCGCATATCCCAATTTTGGGTTCCTATGATCGGCATCGCTGACTTCGATCTTTCGGCAATTTCACTTTCTGCCCCTTACGCACATGTACTCCCTGCAGACTTGCACAATCCCACGAAACTAATAACTTTAGCGACGCTACTAGTCGAAAAGGCAAGGCTCTGTGTTTGCATTCATAGGATCGTGTCTACGGTGTATGGAGGGAGCAGCTCGCATGGCCATGGAGAGTGGGTTGGGGCACCGAACTCAGAGCGCCCGGGAGGCTCCAAGGACATCGAGGACTGCACACGCGATCTCGACCTGTGGATGGCGATGCTTCCGAATGAGGCTGCATCTAAACTTTCGAGCCACCAAGATCAGGATCGCAGCCTGATTATTTCAAAGGCGACTCTTCAAACAATCTACTATACTGCCATCATCGCCGTGCATCGTCCGCAGGCATTTGGACAAAAAGCCTCTGGTACAGTCTCGAGACAGCAAACTTGGTCCCATGCTAGGCTGATCGTGCGATGGGCCGCCCATCAAATATCTAGTGCGTTTGCACATGTCCGTGAGCTGGGCTTGCTAGACTACTTGGATGCGACAGCAGTAGCCAACATCATTGCTGCTGTTGTGGTACATCTCCAGGACTGCA